AGGAACGGAACTATCTCTAGGGGGTACCTAAAGAGCAAAGTTGTGGCATTGAGCTCGCATGAATGCTGGAGTGTAGCTATTAAAAACCTCATATCAGTGCCATCAAAGGATGTAAGCTTCATTCCTTGATTGTATTTTGAATTTAAAATTTTAAGTAATCATACATGATACTTGTTATGAACCGAAACATCAAAGACATTTTTAATATTTTTGAAAGTTTGGCTAAAGGAAAACTTGCATTCCAATTAAGGATAAAGTATGTCTTATTCTTAGCCGAATGTCATCTTCCAAATAATAGCTGGTCTGGTTGACCATTTTTTGGTTTTGATAAGTAATATTAATTAAATATGCTGAATCTAAGTTTCCCATAACTATTAAAATTCTGCTTTTTTGTGGAGATGGGTAAACACAACAAGGAAGAAAGAAAAACTTTTCAACATTTCTTATCGTGATCATGGGTAGGAAAAGCTGTGAAAACGCAAAAGAGGAGATAAGAGGAATGAAAAGAGAAAGGAAAAAATGGAAACGAATGCAAAGAAACCTTGACAAAGAGAAGACACTTGCGTCTGGATTACAGATCGAGAAGGCTCGCCTTGAGAAACAACAAAAGATATACAACAATATAATGAGAAAATATTATGAACGATGGGACTCACTTCTCAAGCGAGAAGAGGCTTCAAGAAAGGCTTGGATATCAATTCCAAGGCAATCTGAAGTGCAAGGGAAGGTATGTACAACATTTTAAATCTTCAAAGCCGGAAAAGTTTTAAAGCGGTTGCATCACCCCTTCCTCATCGTCACCCTTAAAGTGGAGGGGGGGGGAGTTTGAGGGACTACTTGGGTGCTGTCACAGAATTGGTTACTGCATCTACTTCCTGATGCTGTTTAACCAAGTCTTCCTTACTAGAATTTATTTTACCATCGCCTCTAAAACAAGATACATTTGAGTCATTCCATCTGTTTTAAACCCTTAGGTAATTTCAAATGAGGCAGCCATGTTGAAAGTAGCACTCCATCTACATTTGCTGATCTGACCTTGATGTCACTGCATTTATGTTACTACGAAAAGAAATTGCCATTTAAAACTCTGTGTAAATAAGTACATTACAACATATAGAGAAGCATTTAATCATCATTTATTTCTTGTTCCAAAGAGGGGGGCTAACAAAGGATTTACAGTTGATTAACTTTCTGTCTTGTTGAAATGTAGGTAATTGCAAAAGCAACATGTGAGTCCATCGTGGAAATTGACTGTGCCCTTTTGGAGCCCTCAAAAGATGAATCTGGAATGGAGGTGAAGGTACATGTGGGTTCTGGTGTGTGTGGGTGCTGCAGTGAGATGTTTTACAGGGACAATCCCATTGCAGTTAAAACATTTTATCCTGCTACGGTAGAGGAACTCAAATAGGAGGCAAGAGTCATGTCAAAGTTCCAACATGCAAATTCTCCTCTTCTTGTTGGGGCGTGATGAGACACTTTCGNGGATTACATGTGGGGAGAAGTGAGTTTGCTAGGATGGCATTATGTGGGCAGGCCAGCCTGACTCATGTAATCAGCCTCTAAGTGGATGATTGGCAGGCCTGTGGCCTGAATTATTATTTCCCTCGGATTTCTAGCAAAGGTAAATAGATCAATCACATTTAATTCCAGTTTCATTTACATTAAATTTTATTCTGAATACAGTTGAACCCAGTAAATGGGCCACCCTCAGGGAACTGGCAAATGGCCACTAAATAAGGGTTTTTATTTCTTTTTTTGTTAGATCCCAATGCAAATTTATAGCAAATGAACAGCTTTGCTCAATGAGCAAGGTAAATGTAAAGCAAATGTCAAATTTACGTCACACTTGCATGGAATTTTGTCAGGAACAAATACTTGAGTTTAGCTTCAGTTTATAGCTATTGCAAATTTAGTTCAAGCACACTTCTTTTTCAGCTTGAGGATAGTGTTTCAGAAGAAGACATTTCATTCCCAGCAGACAAGATGGATCACAGAAAGCTAATGGTATCATCTATAGGATAGTGAAAGAAAAACCATTGCAATCTGTGTCCCTTGCGAGGATTCGAACCTCCTGCAGTCAGCCTAGAGAAGGTGATCCCAGCTGTGAGGAGAGTTTCGTGCGCTCCTCTCAGTGCTTGTCTATTTTCGCGTCTCGAGGAGAGGTGCAGTGCAGATTGCCCATACTTTGTTCTTACCTTCTGGTACCTCGGCAATGATATGCCCGTATCGTTTTTATTTTTATGATTTTTTTATTTTCATTGATTGATACGAGCACTGAGCCGTCATATAGGTCTCAAACCCGGAGGCTAGACAAGTCGGTTCTCGGCTGTAACCACCAGAGGACTGTGTCTGTGTTCAAGCGGGGATTTACTTTTCTCCGGCACCCTTGACATTCAAAGTCAAAGGAATCCAAAAAAACTAAAGCCAGGCTGGAGAGTATCTGCTTTTTAACTGAACAACATTAAAAAATTATGGCATTTGCAGAACGGAATGGTGACCGAAGCTTCTGGAACTTAACTTGAGAGGGGCCACGAGAACTAATTGTTTTATATCATATCAGTCAAAAATCAATTATCTCAGAAAAATTGCGCATCACCTTATCAGCTGGAAGAAAAAAAAAAGTAAGAGCTGGGTCAATATTCATAAGGAACATCTGCTCTATCAGCTAGGCAGAGGAAGAAATTTGTGTGGACCTTTGTGATGATTCAAACCTCAATTTATTTAACATCGCTACCAAACGTTCTTATAGCAGAGCAGAAAGTCAAACTTCTGGGTGGACGCATGTGAGGATTCAAACCTCAAGCTTTTCAATC